CCCGCCTCGTGCCCACCCCCAGCCGCCAGCCCCACGGCGCGCTGCTCCGCCCCCGCGCCGGACGCGCTCCACTCGCTGACGGAAGAACTCTGCGCCTCGTGCCCGGGCTAGGGCTGCCTCTCGAGGCACGGCCACGCCCGGGTTGGAGTCCAAGCTCCCCTCACGACGGCCGACTCCGCTCCGCCCGCTCCTCGCCCTCAGGCCCAGGGCCCGCCCCGTCCGCGCGGAAGCCCCGGCCGTTGGGCGTTCGCCGCAGCCGTTACTGCCGTTATCCTAAGCCCCGTCCCCTCCCTCCGTCGCGTCCAATCCCGACTGCTCCTTCGGGCTGGGGTGTGGTCATGGGGCCAGGCCAGCTCAAGAAGAGGCCGCGCCCCGTCCTCCGCTCATGAAGGGGCGTCACTTCCGGCGTGTGCGTCTGGCGTCCGGCCGGCGCAGGATGGCGGCTCTGAGGAGCTGGCTGTCGCGGAGCGTAGCCTCCTTCTTCAGGTACCGCTGCGGTCGGGTACGAGGGCAGCACCGCAAGGGGGTTGGCGCCGCAAGTAGCGCGGTGGCCGGGACGGTAGCGCCGGCGTAGCTGGCGCTCGTTTCGCTCCTCGGCCGAGTGGGCCGCGGCGTCCCGCCCCTCTCAGGCCCGAGGACGTCCCGGCTCTGCCCCCCGCCTCCCGCGGCCAAAGCGGGGGTTTATTTTTCACTGACGGCTTTTCCATTATTCCGCTGGCTGAACGCCAGTCCTCCTCCCTCCCCAAGCTCGGGCTGGCTTCCCGGGGCGCCTCGGCCTGCCCGCGAGTTCCCGTTGGCCCATCGCCCTCACTGGAAGGGGATGGGGGAGTGGCCCGGGCGAGCGGCGGGTTATGAGAGGAAGTTTTCCCTGCGGGCAGGAGAGGAGCTGGTCAGTCCCCGCGCGGCCCTGCTGGCTGCGGGTTCCAGGTGTGGCCTAGTGGGGACCATCGGGGACACCTGGAAACCTCGGCCACAGGTCCGGAGCTAAATGCTGCGTGCAGCAGTGTTTATTTTGGCCGAAGGTTTTTAAAAAGCTTTGAGACTGCCTTTTAAACTTCCACACCTGTTACCGATTAAACTTCGGAATCACTGGGCCCGCACCCCTGCGCGGCCGAGGTTCCCGAGAGTTGGGTAGCAGTTGGCCCTTGCAGCGAGTCCGAGGCTTTCCAGTCCGCCACGCTCTCCCCCGAGCCCTGACCCAGCATCTTCGTGTAGGCTCCTGCTTGGCCGAGTGTGAGTTTCTGACCCCTGCAAACAAATTGAAGAGACGTACAGATTGGTAGTTACCGCCTTCCTAAATTTGACTTGTGTCTCTAGGTACAGGCAGTGTGTTCCTGTCGTGGCGAACTTTAAGAAGCGCTGCTTCTCAGACTTGATAAGACCATGGCACAAAACTGTGGCAGTTGGATTTGGTGTGACCCTGTGTGCAGTTCCTATTGCACAGGTAAAAATACTGTAGTGTCAGTGGGTGTTTCTTAGTGTACAGTGCCCTCCTGAAGTCTCAGCTGGGCAGTGAACCATCAGCTCTTCTGTTACCCAGTGCTCCCCCACCCGCGCGATGGTTTACTTTCTCCTCTACCAGCAGCATCTTTTCATAGCTGAGCAAATATATTAATATTCCCATTTTTAATTGTCCCATTTGGTAGGAACAGTATGTCAAGGTGGTCAAATTGTATAAAGAGGGAGGAGAATAAGATGATGGGGCGCCTGGGTGGCTCAGTTGGTTAAGCGGCTGCCTTCGGCTCAGGTCATGATCCTGGAGTCCCGGGATCGAGTCCCACATCGGGCTCCCTGCTCAGCGGGGGGTCTGCTTCTCCCTCTGACCTTACGCCCTCTCGTGTTCTCTCTCTCATTCTCTCGCTCTCTCGCTCTCAAATAAATAAAATCTTTAAAAAAAAAAAAGATATTACAGCCTATCAACAGAATAGTCTTTCATTCAACAAAAATTTATTGAGCAACTTTAATGTGCCATATGTTGGAAATGTAAGAACAAAACAGAATTCCTGCTCTCATAAAACTTGCATTCTGGGGTGGGGGCGCCTGGGTGGCTCAGTCCGGTTAAGAGTCTGACTCTTATTTGTTTTATTTTTAAAGATTTTATTTATTTTAAAGAGCACGGGTGGGGTGGGGGGGGTGAGGGGCAGAGGGAGAGGGACAAGAAGACTCTGCACTAAGCACAGAGCCCTACCCCAGGCTCGATCCCACAACCCAGAGATCATGAACTGAGCTGAAACCAAGAGTCAGCAGCTCAACCTACTTGGCCACCCAGGTACGCCAAGCGTCTGACCGTTGATTTAGGCTCGGGTCATGATCTTAGGGTTGTGAGATCGGGCTGCATTGGCCCGGCGTGGGGCTCCACCCTGGGCATGGAGGCTGCTTAAGATTCTCCCTCTCCCTCTGCCCCTCCCCCCATCTCTCTCTCTCAAAAACAAAAAACAAAACCAAAAACAACAAACCCACATTCTAGGGAAAAGAAAGGGGAGAAAATAAATATAAAATGCCACCTGATGAGTGCTATGCAGGAAGCAAATAGGGTAAGAATATAGGGGTACTGGGAGGGAGTTGTTTTATTTTAGATAGGAGAGTGTGGTCCAGGAGGGCTACTTTGATAAGGTGATGTTTAAGTTGTGATCAGTATGATCTGAAAGAATGAGCCATGGTAATATCTTGGAGAAGAGTTTGCCAGGCAGAAGGAACTCTTGAGTGCAAAGGCCTAGAAGCAGGTGTGTCTACCTGATATGTTTGATGAACAGCAAAAAGGTTAATGTGGCTGGAGTGGAATGAGAAAGAGAGCATAATGGACAAAACCAGAAAATTAGCTGAGGCTCGAACGGTTTTGTCCTTTTGAGCCACTGTAAGGCTTTGAATTTTATTCTGAAAAGGAAGCCACAGAGGATTTTAACACAAGGCTGTTACCATCTCACATAAGGTTTTAAAGGTTGCTGTGTGGAACTAGGAAGACCAATGGGAGATTGTTGCTCTAGTCCAGGCTTGGAGTAGGCGGGCAACAGTGTAGGTGGGGAGAAGTGGACCAAATGTGGTCAGCATGAGTTGCTGATGGATTGAATGTGGAGTATATTTCAGGGTTTTTGAAAAAGCCTAAGCGCCTGAAAGAATGGAGTTACCATTTATTGGAGTGGAGGGGAAGTAGGTTTTGGGAGGATGAAATCAAGAGTTAAGTTTTGGAAATGACAGTCTAAAATGTCTAGTAGACATCTCGGTGGAGTTGTCACGTAGGTGATATGAAAGTGGTACCTTATTAAAAAGATCACTGGTTATATGCTTCCTGAGAAAGAGCTCAATAGGAAATTAGCAAACCCCATTTTGGCAGAATATTTCTGATACTTATATGTGTGTTTATCGCAACAAGATCAATTCCAGGGGCGCCTGGGTGGCTCGGTTGGTTAAGTGTCTGCCTTCAGCTCAGGTCATAATCTCAGGGTCATGATCTCAGGGTCCTGGGATCAAGCTCCGCATCGGGCTACCTGCTTAGTGGGGAGCCTGCTTCTCCTTCTGCTCCTCCCCTCCCCACTCGTGTTCTCTCTCTCTTAAATAAATAAATCTTAAATGGAATTGATCTTTTTTTTTAATCACAAATCTTTTCAGCATCTTCTGCGGCTTTCTCATGAGCCTGTGTCTTTTTGGTCCTCACACCAAACCTCATCTCTGCTTGTTCATAGAATTGCTAACCCTAAAACCCTTACTTGAGCACCAGGCCATTTTCTGCCACAATTAGGATAGCCTTTCTTCTTTCCTTCAAAAGAAGTTTTTGGGTTTGTCCTTTCTCAGTTCATACACTTGTCTTAAGCCTCAGTTACCTCAGTTCTGGGCCACATGACAGGAGCCTCAGGTCATTATCCTGTAGGAATGGCCGTTCCACTTCTGTTCTTCAGAACCTGCAGCGGTTCTCCATTGTGTGTTGCAGAACTAAAACTCAGCCAACTCCCCCGTACTCCAGTCTCCTTGTTCTCTTACCTCCCTTGTGCTATATCTGTTGGAACCAGGCCAGATCCCTGAATGTCCCCTGCATGCAACAGATGTATCTTTTCCTCATTATTTCTTCATCCCCAGGCTGCCTGACAGTTCTCATCCTAGCTATCTTCAGGCCCAAGTCCCACCTCTTTTTAAAGCCTTTCAGAGTTTCTGGCCAACAATGATCTCCCTCTTTCTGACCACTTGTGTTGTATTTTGATATTTGATGATTACACTCTCCTGAGTCAGCAGAGCATAATGGAAAGGGTACAAATGTTGACGAAGATGTGGTTTAAGGTCAAATATGTGACTTTTGGGGAGAGAGTGTAACTATTCTGGGTTTCCATCTCCTCATCTGTAAAAAAGAAGTGATAATACCTGGGCTGTCATGAGGAACAAGTGAAAATGCACTGTAAAATGCATTATGGGTGGATCAGTCGGTTAAGTGTCCGACTCTTGGTTTTGGCTCAGGTTGTGATCTCAGGGTTGTGAGATCAAGCCCTGCGTTGAGATTAAAATAAAATGCATTATGAAGACATAAGTTAGAATATATCAAAATTAGCTTCCAATGAGCAGAAATAATACTCTTTTCAGTCTTTCTGTACCTTCAGTGCAAGGTATGTAATGAATACTTATTTGAATGGAAGATAAATATGGTAAGTAAAATTCTGGATTTGTTCATGTGTCAAAGATTTCTTGACTGCTACTTTCAGTAAGTGATTCTGTGGGTTTATACTCTAGCAAAAACAAGACTGCATATGATTAGAGGAATTGGTTTCTTTGTTCTGATACAATAAATGATCTGCTGAGGAAGGAAAAGGCAGAGTCAGGGATGACCTGAAAGTAGAGCATTCCTATAAAACCTTTCATAATTCAGCATAAAGTGAAGAGTATCTTTCCAAAAGTTCATGTTATGCCACTTTGCTTTTTACAAAAGACATTTAGTACAGTAACGGCTTTTTTTTCTTTGTAAACTTAAAAATCCTCTCCGGACTTCTTTTCGTTATTGAAATAAGGTACTAGTACAGTCAGGTACCTTAAGAGCAAAGAGACTTAGTGCAGACTTTCAGAAAGCAGGGAATACTTGAATTTAGTTAAGGCGGCCACATTTCCTTAACTCTTGAGATAGTTACATTGGGTTTTGTTTTGTTTTTTTAACATAATAGCTGAGGTCAGAGTGAAGTGTCCCCAACCCCTACCCAAGACTGTACTGTTCATTCTGCTCAGAATTGCTCTCCCCCATCCACCCATTTACTTTCTTAGACTCAGCTTATCCCTCATCAACTCTGTGAAGCCTTTTTAAGCTATTTTCATTCAACATAGAAGTGATTGTTTTCTCATGCATGTCCCTACTTGTAGCTTGTACAGACTTCTGGGGTGCCTGGGTGGCTCAGTCAGTTTAGTGTCTGCCTTCGGCTCAGGTCATGATCTTGGGGTCTAGGGGTCAAGCCCTGCATCAGGCTCCATGCTCAGCAGGGGGTCTGTCTCTCTCTGGTGCACGCTCTCTCTCTCCAAATAAATCTTTAAAAAAAAGACACTTATACAGACTTCTGCCACCATGGTACTTGATTGCATTAATTTTTCAAGTTCCCTTTTAGACCCAGCTCCTCCCCTTCCCCATCTGAAATCTTTGAGGACAGAAAATAGATCTTACATATCTTCATATCCCAAGTATCTAGTCTGTGGTAATGAATGAATCATAATTTCATCGAATTTGTTGGTTGTAATTACTAGACTTTTATTTCATATAAAGAAATGCTTGGCTATTTGGAACATAGCATAAAAAATAAAAGTAGATAGAAAGCATACTCTGGAATTATTTCCATATATTGTCTTTAATAGCCAAAACAAAGCCTAAAAAGAAAACAAGCAGTTGTAGTGTGAGAAGTGTTTTTCACTTGTTTCTTCAGCTGCTTCAAGCTTTAGAAGTTGAGTGAAATGTTTATGTCTTTCAGAAATTGGAGCCTCATTCTCTCAGTAATGACGCATTAATGAGGAGGGCTGTGTCTTTGGTAACAGATAGCACCTCCACCTTTCTCTCTCAGACCACATATGCATTGATTGAAGCAATCACTGAATATACTAAGGTAAGTGTCTTCTTGTTAAGTCTTGATCTTCTAAACCAGGGGTTAGCAAGCTAAACCAAATCTACTGTGATGCCTGTTTTTGTAGTTTTACTGGAGCGTAGCCAGGCTCATTTGTCTCTATGTTGTCTAAGACTGCTTTTGTGAGTTGAATAGTTGTAACAGAGACTATAGGGCCCATAAAGCCTAAAATATTTATTCTCTGGACCTTTACAGAAGTTGGCTGAGTCCTTGACCTAAATCAGTAATTTTTAGACTTTCCCCAGGAACCCCTTCTAAAAGAAAAATCTTTAAATACAGCAGCCCAGTAAAAAAGACAAGAAAACCAAGCTGATTGAGTTCAGTTACAGGTAAAGGGGTCTAGAGTCTACCACTCACAGCACCAGGGGTTTCGCTGTGGGGACAGTTTGAAAACCACTTATGAGGTAGTAGAGAGGTATCTGGATAATCCAAATCATTTATAGGTTTATTATACCTTCATTTTTCAGCAGCTTTTTCCCTCCGCCTTCTGAGTTTTCCCCTGCATTGTATTCTCTATGTCTGAATTGCTAACAAGCTTTTATAAACACAGAATTTGACAAGTGGAGATACTTATGTCCTGGAATAATGCCTCTACCTCCTACAATCGTGTAGTTTCGGTGAGGTGGAAGGACTGAATGGTTTGCTGTAACGGGACTCTATTTCCTTGGGGTATAAATCTCACAAATCCTAATATGCCTCACTTATTCTACTCATTTATTCTATATTTGTAGGCCGTTTATACTTTAATTTCTTTGTACCGACAATATACAAGTTTACTTGGGAAAATGAGTTCACAGGAGGAAGATGAAGTGTGGCAGGTGATCATAGGAGCCAGAGTTGAGGTAAGCAAGATGTTAATAGACATTTCTGTATTAGTGCGCCTACCTCGTTGTGGTGTCTGACAGTAACTGTTCTCTGAATCTGGTTTGAATAAACCCATGTTAATGTGCTTATTAACCTCTTCATGTTGTCTCAAGTGCTGTGTTTAATTAATTTACAGATGACTTCAAAACAACAAGAATACTTGAAGTTGGAAACCACGTGGCTGACTGCACTTGGTCTTTCAGAGATGGCGGCAGAAGCTGCATACCAAACTGGTAGGTTCAAGTTGTCGCTCCCTAGGTGCCATCTGAGTTTTCATCTGGCTGTAAAATGAAGGATTTAGATTAGTCTAAGGCCCGTGTGGCTCTAACTTTGTGAGAAAATGCTCCCATTTCCACTAGCTAGGCCATAGTCTAGAAAACGACACAGCTATTGCCAATTAGAATAATTGCATCTAAATCGTTTTTAAGCATTTTCTTTTTATAACCCTGTATTTATGATACTGGTCATACAGTGGCACAGTTGGAGGAGACTGAAGACCACTAATCTGTATGAACCTTACTGTGTAGATGGAGAAACTGAGACCTGGAATCCTAGTCAGTGGCAAATCCAGGACAAATAATAGCTACCATTTATTGAGTACTGGTCTGTTTCACACTTTGCAGTAAGTATTTTATAGGATTTTTAATTTAAGGAACCGTGAGGATTAGTATCCCCATGTTACAAATGAAGAAAATGGGGATCGAAGGGTTAAGAAATGCCCTGAGATGCTGGGTACGGTAAGATTCAGCGCAATGCTAAAGTCTCTGTACCTTTGCATCCCAATATAGAAAATGTAGTTATTCATTCACCAGGATGTTTTCTGAACCTCTCAATCCACCCAGTGGGCTTGAGCTGAAGGTTTTTAACTATTTAAATATATTTTGAAGAAAACTCTATTCTTACCTGAATTGGTCTCAAACTGGGTAGCTCATAGAAATTTTTGTTTTCTGACTCTAAGGTAACAAACTAGGGGCTCTAGTACCAAATCTTAAAAAGGATATAATATATATTTTTAAAAGTAAAAAAAAAAAAAATCTTAGTTAACTAAAGGAATCTGAGATCCTAGAAGCACAAGTGGAATGAAGAGTGAAACATTAGAAATGTGAAAGCATTCGAGCAGTGCCCCAGCAGAGGGGGGAGCAGGGTTGCCAGGTGCAGTGAACGGGAAGGTTTGCTGAGGCAGTCCAGTGTGAACATTTCCAGGCAGCCTTAGATTGAGCTGGAGAAAAGGGAAAGCGTAAGCATTATCTGGGGAAAAAAGACATTTTTACAAAACTGATTAAAAGGTCTCAATATGAAATATAGAAAGAAAAATAAACTATAAGGAGATTTACCTACAAAGGAAGTGTAATCAGATGTGGCTTCTGATCAACAACCCTAGATGCAAGGGGACAAATCAATAACCTAGAATTCTATATCCAGCCAAATATCATTTCAGACATAAAAATACTTGGTTTACCAACTACGTATGCTTTCCGAAGAAACTACTTTGTGAAGAAAGAAATTAGTTTAGAAAGGAACAACTAAGATAAGAATGAACAAAATTCAGTAAAACTTAAATTTTTAAATCCATTTGGGGAAGAAGTGCAAGCATGCCAATAGTTGTTTTGAGAAGAGCTAGACATCAGCTCAACATTAGACCTTGCTAAACAGAACTTGATAAATGAATTTAAGACAGGGAAGTTTAAAAAAAATTTTTAAGATTTTTTTTATTTCAGAGAGAGAGCAAGAGCAGGAACACAAGCAGGGGGAGTGGGAGAGGGAGAAGCAGGCTTTCCACAGAGCAGGGAGCCAGATGCAGGGCTCGATCCCAGGACCCTGGGATCATGACCTGAACCGAAGGCAGACCCCAACGACTGAGCCACCCAGGCACCCCAACAGGGAAGTCTTAAATAGAGGAACAAGTTCCAACATGAGTCATCACAATAACTATGAATATGTTCAAAAAAACTCATCACAGCTAGGGGCGCCTCGGTGGCTCAGTTGGTTAAGCATCTGCCTTCAGCTCAGGTCCTGATCCCAGCATCCTGGGATCAAGCCCCACATCGGGCTTCCTGCTCAGTGGAGAGCCTACTTCTCCTGCTGCTCCCCCACCGCTTGTGCTCTCTTTCTCTGGCAAATAAAATCTTAAAAAAAGTTATAAAAAGCTAAACCAAACCATTATTAAAAGAAAGCTACTCCAAAAAGCTGGCAGAACAATGTCAGAATAAGGATTCAAGACTAAAAGAACATTAAGACAATTGAGAAGATATTCAAAGTAATGGTCATAAAGATATTGGACTTGAGAAAAAAGTGGATGAACTCAATTTCAACAAAGAGAAAATACAAAAAAAAAAAGGTGCCTGCGTGGCACAGTTGGTTAAGCGTCCCACTCTTGGTTTCAGCTCAGGTGGTGATCTCAGGGTCGTGCAATCGAGCCCCACACTCATCACAGAGTCTGCTTGAGATTTTCTCCCCTTCCTGCTCTTGCTTTCTCTAAAACAAAAAACCCCACCAGAGGTGAAGAATTCAAGTGAAATAAAAAATAATACACTAGAGGGCGCCTGGGTGGCTCAGTTGGTTAAGCGACTGCCTTCGGCTCAGGTCATGATCCTGGAGTCCCGGGATCGAGTCCCGCATCGGGCTC